TATTATTAGCTGCTTGTAAAATAGCATTAGATAGGATATTCCATTGCTTGTTAAGGCTGGCTCGTTGGTGATTGGTATAAGGTTAGGTTTTTCTTGGCTTGCTAATTTTAGTCTTTTATTGATTTGATATTTAGTTAGTTTAATAATTTACGATAAGGTAAACTGGTTAGACAGATAAATATTTAAAGACAAAAGCAATAAAGTATTGATTATTAAAACAAGTTGTCCTGCAGTTAAATTGCAATTATAAATATGCTGTGTTGTTGCAATGAATAATTAGATAACTCTTTTTAAATAATTAAAAAAAAAAATAAGTAATTCTAAACAAGCAAAGTATAAAGCTCTAATCAAACCCTCAACCACTGCCCCACTCACCAAAATTATAGTTATTTCTGATGATGAAGACAAAAGTACTGACAGTAAACATGAAGGTGTCAGTATTGCTTTTGGCTTGAAGATATTAAGAAAAACAAAAAACTCAAAAAAAAGTCAATGCATAAAAATATTACCAATTATTTCTTGAAGAATATAAAGATACCAACAGCAAAACATACAAAGATATTTATTCTATTTTACAAAAACTTTTAACATAGATTTTTTATTAGTATAAAAAGACAAACTCTTTCCTGTAAATCTGTAAATTATAAGGAAAACAAAACAAACAAAATTTTAAAACTGCCTACGAACTAATTATAAAGAAAACTATAACTAGACTACTGCTAGAAGGCAAATAAATATCACCAAGTACCTCAGGAATATCCATCACATTGAAAAGAGACAGAGATACACTTCTTGCCACTCTAGAATTCTTTGAACTCTTCCTCATCCCCTCAATAATAAGCACGGCACTGATGGACCCTGCCAGGATCTCAGATGCCCAGAATACCGCAGTATACCCAAACACTCCAAACAACCCACCTCCTTAAAAAAGGAAGAAAACTGTACAAGATGCAACTCTGTCTAACTCCATTACTACCTCCCACCTCTTGATTCACAAAGTTCTAACAAAAGTGGGCTCCCTAGTTTACCCCCAACAATTATCCCTATGACATTATTTAACCAAAACAACAACAACAATGACCAAATACAACTGATTTCCATGCCCTGTTCTGAACTAGCTCCGATTAATGAAATTAACAACAACCAAACACAGATAATTCCCACGCCCCAGTCAGTACCCATGATGATTGACAATCAAAACACAACCGACCTCCGAGTGAGCCTCCCTAACAACTCAATAGCCTTTTTGACCCCAGAATATATCCCAGATGAACCCCAAAATGACTCAGCAGACCTCAACCCTAAGAACATGGATACACAATCCAATGCCACAGTCAAATCCGTCCTAGCCAAGAAATCATACAGCAATGCACTTACCTTCAACTTACCCAAACACTTACTCCAAAACAACAAATTGGATATCTGGGTTTATTCAGGTTCTCTGGCATTAGCCAAAGCACGTACCCTTGACTTTGATACCATCATATGAAATAATAACTGCATACTCTAGACATTTTCCTCAGAAGAGCTCTTTGCTAATTTTCTCCTACACAAAGCACAAACTAACCCAACCAAATACAACCTCTCATATGCAATTCAAGAAAAATTTTCTTACCTAGATATAGCTTTCTTTTATTTCTTCACCAAAGATAAAACTACACAGCCATTACACCAAAAAAAGTTTAATTCCCTACTCGAAATGGCTATAGAAAAATACAAAAGGATCCACAATGCACGATTCATCAATAAACACAACTGAGACCAGATCTTTAACAAACTTAAAACAAAACTCACACTATATGTTATCTGTAATCTTGACTTCCTTACTACCAGCTCTCATGACTGCACTCGAGTTATTCACTACTGCCAAAATTTTGCAAAAATTCAACACACTATTGAATTTGAAGACTTACGCAAACTGATTAATTAAGCCCATACCCAATTACTTATGCCACTGCTACCAACCCCAGCCCAAATAGACTCTGCAATCCAAAACATCCTGCTATTTTCCCTCCCTATACAAGATCGAAATCTCATCTGAGCCATGGTCCTAGCACTCCAAAAAATCTTTTCATTTGAAAAACTACCTGAAACATATTTCGCAACATTATTGATACCCTTACCTGATGATCTGTTACAACTACTTCCAGAAATTAAAGACCTATTCCCTATTACTAAAAGGTCACGTCTACTCTACTTATCTGATTATCAAAAAAAATTAATGAAATACTACATCTTAGAGCAAATTCCATCCAATTACTTCCAACTCCCCAAACCCAAACCTTGCCTCCTATTAATACCACAAAATCTCTGTTCAGCAGTCTGATATCTATTTCTCTGTGACCCAACAGATGAAATAGAATTTTGAAGATACCTTGATATCTTAAGAGAACACTATAACTTCCATTGTATCCCTAATGACTATTTTGTACAAAAAAAAAGCCTACCACACAATCCATCAGAAGTGAATACAAAAAACTCGTACACCTTTCCAATTACTGATACATATGCTGCGAAAGAATTCATCGCTAAAATACAAAAGCAATATAAGTTTAACATATCACTACCACCTCATTACATGACAGCAAACCCTATGAACAAACCTCTACTACCAACTGACTCAAACCTTGTTGCCAAAGTAAATCTAACAATACCAATAGCAAGTCCTAAAGCACTAGTTGATACAGCAAGACTTCTACGAGAGCATTACTTCTTCCATCAAATTCCTACTAAATGGATTCAAATTCGTCTAAACCTAGACTTAACAAGAAAATCACCTCTCCCACCTCTAATTCAAGATACTACTGCATACTTAGAACAACTCGAATTGCATCACACAATCCAAATCCCTATTACTAACCCGGACAAAATAGAACCAAACTATCATGGCACTAAAAGAACACTATGCATTTAATGGAATCCTCCCCTTCCTTCTACAACTACCCAACCTCCCCAAACCAGACTGGGAGATTCTTGACAACTACTCACCTAAACTCAATGAGTAGCACTTTATCGGATATAGATTCACCATCTCCAGATCCGTCATCAGTCAACTCACCTGCTAATATAAAATTTCCATCACTAGACATTACTAACTATATTGATATCATCACACACAATATCCAAGGTCTCAATAACAACCTCAAGTTCTAACTCTTTTTTGAATTTTGTGCCCAAAACAACTACCACTTAATATCAATAACAGAAACCAACCTGAAGAATAGCAACCCAATTGCCTTATCTAATTCTCTCTATAAAATCTACACCTCAAACCATATACCAACCCAAGATACACCACAAGAAGCAAGTTTGGAAACAGCAATAGCACTACATTCTCAACTCCAACCTTACATCTATAATATATCAACTCACCCAGGCACTGCGCTTTGTATTAACTTCTTCCTACCTGCAAACATGAAGCTTCGAGTAATCTCAACTTACTTACCATCAAATCATCCTAATCTACGCAAAGCAACACAAAACCTAATAAGCCTATAGTTACAAGAAGCAAGAAAGAAAAAATAGAACACCATATTACTCAGCAATTTTAATGACAACGCAAACAGGAAAAGGAAACAAAACTCAATCTTTAACATCTTGGACAACTCATTCATGAATAGCCTACTCAACCTTCATGTTATAACAACACCCACATGGCAAAGGCAAGATCAACAAAGCCAGATTGATGATATTTGGACAAACTCTGAAATCATCCTACAATTCGACATACCACATATACTTAATGCTGATGGTATAACAGACAGTGACCACAAGATTATCTCAACCACATGGCGAACAAATCTCAAAGTAGTCAAACAATGCCCCAAAAAAAAGAAAAGAAAATTTTTCTATTTGACAAATATCCCAAGAAAGTTGGCAAAACTTCGCCAAACTCATTGAAGATAAATTACAACAACAATGCTCCAACCAACTACCAATCACCAACGAGCCAGCCTTAACAAGCAATGGAATATCCTATCTAATGCTATTTTACAAGCAGCTAATAATA